GTTTTCCTTAGATAGAAAACTTTGAATCAATTTAACTGGATGATCTGGTGAACTGGAAAGTGCCTTGAGATGACTTGTGTTGTAAATTGACGCTATAGAAATAAACCGAACTGAATTGAATCTGAAGGGTTTCTGAAAGGCCCTGTGCATGAAAGAAAGCCATACAAAGTCCTAATTGCTCTCTGATTTGCTTTTAACATGGAAGAGCATTCTCTTGTCAGCTGTGTAGCTTAAATCCAGATCTAGATTGGAACGATTTAAGTTACGTAACAATATTAATTTAAGTTACGTAATACACCTGGTCATCACAGGCTTATTTTCACATTCAATCTACCTGCACTTGGTTATTTTGTAAATGGAAACATGGGAAGTACGAACAGGAAGCTGTAATGAATCGGATCCTATGGGGAGGTGTGGTCCCAGCAGGTGTTAATACTACCATTTTGATAGTTAATACAAAATGTATCAAAGATCAACCAGAAACATAACATCTGTTCTTTCATAAAGTGCAAATCACAATAAGGTAGAGCATTTTTTTCTAGAAAAATATCTGGTCAGTTCAATCTATTGATAAGTGTAATTCAAGCTAAATATATAAAATGATGTAACTATAGTTTATCATGCTAGTCGACGGATTTTATAGCAACACTTCTTCCATGAGCATGCATATAGTAACAGTGGGAAAGAACAACTGCTGTTTAACAGGAAGGACTCTAACAGGCAGAGTGAGCACTTGATAAGATAGAGGAGGAGAAAGACAAAAGAACTGGAACAGGAGTACCTTCTACGTTAGAAAGTAAATATATTTTGGTAGCAGCAGCTGCTCCTTTAGTGGATCCACATTGCAGAGAAATTTTATGAATAGACCAAAATTTGAAACTGTTTTATGAGGCACTTTAGGAAGATGAAAATACGTCTTAAATTCTTTATGTCTGATTTAATGATAGAAACCTTTGGACAAACCAAATGGGTTTAACAGAGCAGAACATATTAAAGCCGCCTGAGCTTTGACAGGAAAATGGATTCATGTAAATCTTTCATTTTATTTTCATTATGGCTCGTCTGCCTGGCTGTGTGTTTCCTGGACGGGGCCGCCTTTTACAGCTGCTTTTTCCATCTCTGCTTCTGTCTCCTTGAACCCCAGTGGGCCTCGGCAGATGGCCGCTCACACTGAACCTGGTTCTGATGGAG